ACTGCCAAAATTGTTCACAGGAGTAGTGAAATAAATATTACTTAACACTTTGGTCTGTTGTATTTGAAATGGGCCTTCTTATAATCTCAAATATACTAATTTAATGAATACATTAACATGCATTTGATATTATGTTGTCTTGGTTGAATCCCAGAGTTGAATATTTCAGAGCTTGGAAAATGCTTCAGTAGTTTAAAAACAAGCACCTAAGGCAAGTACAAAGTCATGAGTTCAATCCCCAGTGTCCCCACATACACTAAGGCAGTCCTGATATGAGGAAGGAAATATATTCCTCTATTGTTTGGATGATGGCCTCATATTTATAAATCATATGCTCAAGAGATCCATGGCTTTCTGACGTCTTGTTCTTTTCAGTATAAACAGATAGGCTCATTTTTCAAGGCTCAAAAATCATGTTTCAGGTCCTCTGGAAACTTGTTTGTACTGCCAATCTTCCCCCTCAGTCCTGGATAGCTGTGAGTTCTCTTCTTGAAGAATTTAAGGGGCTGTGATCCTTCTGCAGTGCCACATGGTGCTGTGATTGGACATGGTACTGTGATGATCCGAGGAGGCGGACCAGCAAGTTTCATTAGAATAGACAGTTTTTGACTTGTTTGCAGGCACGTAACTAGTGGGAAGGGACTTAAGGTCAGTGTCAAATCTGAATGCCAAGTTTGCATCACATGTGTGAACTGAGTCAAAAGCAGAGAGGATAGCAACAGATGGGGCATGCAAGACAGAGAACAATTTATGGTGGACTCTCTAAGTCAGACTATTAAAGGGAAAAACACAATTTTCCAGTTATCTATGATTCAGATGTAGATGGTTTGCAGAGACAGAAAATTTAAAAATCAGTTGTCTCTTCTCCGTCTTCATTTCTGTAACATGTTCACAAAGGACATACCTTAAATCTTCATCCTCCCTCTCTAGTAGACTACTTGCTTGTTGAAATTCTTTATGTATGGATTGATGGAAGAAAGGAAGGAAGGAAGGAAGGAAGGAAGGAAGGAAGGAAGGAAGGAAGGAAGTTTGGATGAATGGGAAGATGGATAGATTTAGATTTTCAAATTCAGTCCTTAGGACTGCTACTCCATATTATGCCCTCTGTTTTATCTAATTCAGCTTTTCTTTACACCTCTATTTAATAAGTTGTTTCCCTGTGAGACTATACTGAAGCTATAGTAGAATCTTACCAAATATGATATTTTCAATCTTGTTTATAACAGTCTTTTATATTCTATATTTCTATTCATGAATTAAGAATTCCCCTTGCATGTACACAGTCATATTTTCTTTGGAAAATAGGAAACTTCATTTCCATTTTATATTGGAAAAATACTAATAAGACTCTGTGTCTCAGTTTCTTGTTTATATGCAAATAAATAGCTGAATAGGACATATGTGTATATGTTTATTATTATTTGGTTTTGAGTCATATCTGACAGTGCTCAGGATTTACTTTGGCTCTGTGCTTAGGGATCACCCCTGCTACTGTTTGGTAGACCATATGTGGTTCCTGGAATCAAACCTGGGTCAGCTGCTTTCAAGGGAAGAACTTTAACTTCTGTGCTATCCCTTCAGCCCCTATGTTTATTATTATATGCACATTGATTATGGATTCACAAACACTGGATGACTATTGGTCATATTATTTTGTGAATTTCTGTCCTATATGCAATGTCTTGCCTATAATATTTGTAACAAGCATAACTGTCATAGTTTTATCCAGGATTTGGAAGCACAAAATGATAAGTGAATTTAACAATAAAATGCACATGTTAAAACTCAAAGTATTTTTTTATAATTAGCAATCTTAGCTCTGAGTAAACAGTGTTTGATTAAATAGAAGCAAAGATATAAAATTCTTGAAAAGAAAGGAAATTTTGGTTGTAATAACTACTGGTGATTATAAGACATTATGCAAGAAAGTTGGTCTTTTATGCTTTATATTAAAAAGTGGTGTGTTCTCTTCACATAGAGAAAAATAAAATTGCATTCAAAACCAAGGAATTACACATTGGAAGTCAAACAACAGAGCTAATATTTTCAAGTGAGGTCCAGAAGATCTTTCCGTTTTCTTTGATGTGAATAGTTTTAAAGAAATTTTCAAGACCGCCTCCCTCAACTTTCAATTGGGATTTTCTAAATCTGGAGTACATGAATTCCAAGCCAACAGTCTGCTATTTTGCTTTTTATTTTCTAAAACCTTTTCTGAATAAAGAAACAATTTAAAATGGCCTGGCTTGGAAACTATTTCCCAATTCTATTTTATTAACTCCCAAATGCTATGTATTTCCAGGTTCTTTTAACTGCAAACACTTGTGACAATTACAAAAGTGTTATACATATTGGTAAAATTTATCAAAAAAGGCTTTTTACTCTAAATTCAGTATAAAAGTTACTGCTTGCAAGCATCAATAAGCAAATGGCTTTTTCTTTCACACTAGAATATCTAATGCAGTGCACTGTTTATGCAAAATCAATAAATATTGACTAATTTCTCCAAGTGATTTATTCTACAAATAAAAAATATTTAAACCCCCAAAATATTTTATAATATTTTCAGTCAGGTTAAAAAAATTATCATTTGAAATTATGTAAATATGATTTTTGGATATCAATTTCTTAAGTCAATTTAATTGGTCTCTTTAACAGTAGAAAACTAAGTGTATTTATGTATGTCCTATAAAAGAATTTCTTAATCGAATTTTAAGGTTCCCACTATCACTTCACAAAAAATGTATAATTTTAAATTGTTCCAGGTGAAGAACATATAATCTATAATATTTTCTAATTTGTGTTTTTAATTAAAATTTATTGCCTCATTTATATCAACTAAGTCTTATTTAATCATTGTGTGAATTAGAATCTTTTATATTGTGAGTAATAAAAATTAGCACTAGATGACTGCTTAATTTCTTATTATTCTGGCTTTGGTGCTAGGAATCAAACCTAAAACTTCACACTTTGGAACACACCCTCTACCTCTAAGCTACCCTGGGTCTTTGCATAGATCAGTTTACTGAAAGGATACCAGAAACCCAAAATATCCTCCTGAAGTTGTGGTCCAGACTTGGGAAGAGTCAACAGTGGGGTGGTTGAGAGGTTGGAAAAGAACAGCTGTTATTATCACAGGGCAGGAATCAGTGAGGGCATGATAACTTGTATCAATATCTAAAATCCAAAGATTCATAATCCAAAGACAGGTCATGGACTGTTAAAAGCCAAAAGTACCTTGAATACACCCCTATGTGCAATTATCTACATTGTTTATGAGAAGTATAAATTGGTCACTGTTACATTTTAGAGCTCAACTTGAGCTATTTTACCAATGGAATATAAAAAGACCCCCCTGGTAAAAAGAAACACTATACACCCTCGGTAAGAATGCATGTTGGTAGTTCTTCTAGAAACCAATGTGGAGGCTCTTCCCCAGATGAAAGATAGAACTACCACAGCAGACTCATTTCCAGGTGACAGTGGTCTGGCCATGCTCTCTTGGGAAGACTGAATGGGGCAGCAGGAACCACTTAGAAATCTAATGTAGAAGAAAGGGAAGGAAGGAAGGAAGGAAGGAAGGAAGGAAGGAAGGAAGGAAGGAAGGAAGGAAGGAAGGAGAAGGAGAAGGAGAAGGGAAGGGAAGGGAAGGGAAGGGAAGGGAAGGGAAGGGAAGGGAAGGGAAGGGAAGGGAAGGGAAGTAGGGGGAGGGAAGGGAAGAAGGGGGAGGGAGGGGAAGGAGGAAAGAAGGAGGAAGAAGGGAGGGAGGAAGGAGGAAGGAAGGAGAGAGGGAGGGAAGAAGGAAGGGGAGAGAGGGGCTGGGGAAGAAAAGAAAAAAAGAAAGAAAAGAGAGAGAGATTATATGGAATGCAGCCATGTCCTACAGAAAAGGCAGGGCATATAGAAGTGGATTCCCAGAGGTCACAGGGGTGTTGTATTAAGGTCACACCTCGGCTGGGAGCTGAAAACTAAGGGAGGGCCTCATGAGAGCAGAACAGGACCTTATTGACATAGGGGGAATGCCGGGGGCCCAGTTCCAGGTAGTTCTGGCGATCAATTGAATATCTAATGTAAACTTACTTGGTGGAAATAATTTAGCCATTTGCTGAAGCATATGTGATGGTGGAATGAAAGGAGTCATTATGCTGGTTCTCCAAATAGCATCGATTGATGGTTAATAGAGTGACTCGAGTGTGTGACAGTAGGAAGGAAATAAAACAGAGCACACCAGCCTCCTTCTCTCACCCCTTCCAGGTGAGAAGGCTCTCAGGCCCCTCTGCTAAGTGACTGCTCTAAGGCGAGATGGGCTGAGATGGACAGGCTGACATTCAGTCGGTGTAAATATAAAAGCACGGGTTTGGGGTAAATATTTTAAATACACACACACACACACACACACACACACACACACACACACACACACACACACAATAATGATGCCAGACTGCAGGGAGAGACTCTGAAAGAGTTTGAGTTTTCATTTCTCAGAACTCAAAATGGAGTTGATTTTCTGGGACGGGAGTAGGAAAGGGTAACAGAGGCCCGGGAAGAAATGAATGAGTTATTCATTTGGGTTCAGGAGTGGGGGGAATCCCAGTTTGGGAGTGGCGAAATGAAGAATGACAAGCAGCGTGTTCGTTTGCCCGTCCACCCTGTGGGAGTTGTGGCAAACACCTGCAGAGGCAGTATTCTGAAGGAAGTGAGGCAACTGTGAGGTTCCTGATTTCATCTCCCAAAGCGGTGTCAGTTCTGCATCCGGCCTTGCTTTGGAAAACCTTGGCGTCCAGAATTCGCATCCTTCCCGGCCTGGCCGGGACTCAGCTGCGCCCTCAAGAGACCCCGCCCCCAGGCCCCGCCTCCCAACAAAGCACCCTATCCCAAGCCGCTGTTTCGCTTAGCCACGCCCCCTCTACGCCACGCCCCCGTTTCCCTGGAGACCATCGCGTCCCCTCTGCGCTAGCACGCTGGGTCTAGCAACCACTTGCTGCAGGAGGGGGCAGCGCCAGAGCCCAGCACCTGGCACCGTGTGGGCACACAGACGGAACGGAAAACCAGAGTTGTTCCTTAGGGCCTGTCCATCGAGGTTGGTGACGGCGGGATGAGGCACGGTCGGGTCTTTTCCAAACTCCTGTTGTGGGGGTTGGGGGTGCTCCGGGCTGCATTTCTTCCCAAAGTAATCATCTCTTTACTTCTTTCTGCCACGAGCTTCCAGAGCAGACAGTCTTGCCTTTTAACTCCATAAATAGGATCTAAAAAATGAAGGCCCTTGCCTTGCATAAGACCGACCAGGATTCAATCCCCAGTACCACCAGTCCCCTAAGTGCCACCAGGGGTGGTCCCTGAGCACGGAGCCAGGAGTAAGCCCTGAGCACAGCTAGGTATGACCAAACCCCCAAAATTAAATTAACTAGGAGGAAGAGCAGGGAAGTGAGCTCTTTTTCCTCTCCAGCTCACCAGATCCTCAAGGGCAGGTGCACAAACAAATTGTAGGAAGAAGTAAATCAGTTTCCAACCAGGTGGAGCAGAAAGGGAAAACATGCCTTGGGTTTTGGTAAGGAGAACTCTGTCTCTTTCCAGTTTGAGAGACCAAATCACTGATTTGAATCACTGGGAGACATACAGTAACAAAGTTATTCATGATTGAGCTTTTGTTCCAACACTTGTGCCTTCACCAGTGTACATTTCCCAATTTCCCACGATCTGTGTCCTCCCCCCAGTCCTCTCTCTCTGTGTCTCTCTGTGTCTGTCTCTCTGCCTGTCTCTCTCCCTCTCTCTCCCTCACCCCTTCCTCCTTCCCTCTTAGGCACTGTGGTTTGTAATACTATTATTGAAAGGGTATTACGCATAACAGTATAACACTTTTCCTGCTCTCAACACTCAGTTTTTGTCCGGAGTGATCATTTCCAACTATCATTGCCATAGTCCCTTCTCTGTCCTAACTACACTCCCCATCCCTGCTTTGTGGCAAACTTCCTACCAGGGACCAGTCCTTCTGGCCATTGTTTCTATGTCTCAGATTATTTTGTACATAATATATATGCCCTACAAATGAGTGCAATCATTCTGTGTTTGTTCCTCTCCCTCTGGTTTCACTTGGCAGGAGACTCTCCATGTCCATCCATATATAAGCAAATTTCATGACTTTATTTTTCCTAACAGCTGCATAGTGTTCCACTGTATATATGTTCCTTGGTTTCTATCTTCACTCAACTGTTCTTGGGCACTCGGGTTACTTCCAGATTCTGGCTATTTTGAATAGTGCTTCAATGAACATAGGAGGCTTTTCTGCATTGTGTTTTTAGGCCACTGGGGTATATTACCAGGATTGATATTCCTGGGTCATACAGGAGCTCAATTTCTAGTTCTTTGTAGAATGTTCATATTATTTTACAGAAAAACTAGACTGATCAACATTCCCACCAGCAGTGAATGAGAAGTCTCTTCTCTCCACATCCATGCCAACACTGGTTGTTCTTTTTGATGTATGCCAGAGAGACCAAACGATTTTTATGATGTCACATCTGCATTGGAATGTATTGATACAAATACTTTTTGACAGTGTATGGCATTTCACTGAATGATTCAATTCTTCCTTAGAATCTGCAGTTTGAATTTTGTTTTGTTTTTTCATCACACCTGGCAATACTTGGGTTATTTAATCCTGGCTCTTCACTGAGTTATTCCTGGTGGTGCTGAGGGACCATATAGGATGGTAGGGATCAAACCTGGGTCTGCAGTGTGCAAGGCAACCACCTTACCTGCTGTAATATTTACATCTTCATATAAACATGTAGTAGGAATTTTCTGTATGAATTAATCTTTTCCCATGATAATGTGGGAAAGGGAAGCATTGTGTAATGTTTATCTTTTGTTAATAGCTTTTTCTACTCTTCATTGCTTCCTCCTGGTTGTCAAGCGAAGTCTATAATCTGCAGTAATCTTTAAGTGTAACTCAAGTGACACATGACCTGCCTTTCAACACTCTACCTACTTTGCATTTTTATTTAGCCATTCATAAATGTCAGTGGGTGGGAAGTGTGATTTCCATTTGTTTTATTCAACCTCCTATTTAATTCCTTCCCTCTGAAAGCAAAATGGTCAAAATCATCTGATATACTTTTACTGACTCTTTAAAAGTCTTTTACTCTTTACAGGAGAAAAATTATTGATGCTTTTTCTGTGGTTTCCTTTAAATCTTGTAGTGAAAGAGCTTGAGATAGTAATATATGAAGTTCTTCTTCCTATAGATAGATTTTGTTCATGATATCAAAATCGTATTTGGAACTCCGCATGACACACCACCACTTTGCTGTCCATAGATTGTTGACTTTTAAAAAACTGTCATCTAAAGTTTCAGAATGACCGAATTCTGGAGATAGTGGTCAGCCTCAAACAGCCACTCCTCAAGTAACCTCCGTCTAGCCAGAACCAGACCTCTGCTGCCTTTGTATTTTCTGATGAGGTGGCTCTGGGAATAGTGGGCAAGAGTGTTGCTCTTTGAAGAATTTTACTTGGGGGCCAGAAATTTAAACTCACACCATGGGACACATTCAGCCTGACCCAGCGCTCTCAAATCTTTGATCCTCTATTTCTCCATTCTCATTTGTCTTTGTGTGGGGGGCCAAACTTAGAGACTGAAGCAGGGATACAAGAGCCAACCAACAGATCAAAGAATGCACCAAGTCCCTTCTGAATACCAACAGTGGAATGGCTCCAGGCAACCTTTTGATCTGATTCTTTGCACCCTGATGCCACAGGTGGTGCTGCCCTCTTGCTGGCATGGGAAAGCTGCCTCTGGGTGTCTCCCCAAAGACAGCTTCCCCTGAACTCCTAAGCATAGAGCTCTGTGCTTATTTGGAGACCAGCCAGAGAGGGAGAGGAATCTCTCCCTCTTCATCTCCTTTACCCACCAGACCCATCTCCCTTCCTGCACTCACACTATCTTGGGTGGTATCCTTTGGGGTTTTGAGCTGGGAGCACCCTGATGAGGTCCACTGTTAAGGATCTAGTGCTCCATTGTTACATAAGTACTCCATTGTTACTTAAGGATGTAGTGCTCTGTTACTAGTCCTTCACTCCCTCCACTCACCTACATGTTTGGAGCTGGCCTGGGAGTTGGGTGCACACACAGATGGGAATGGATCGCTTTCCTGTTAAAAAAGACCTTCGTATCACTAAGGTGCTTGCACATTTTTTTCCATACTTATTTCCTCCTCAATATGCTGGGATACAGCTGCTGCCTATTTTAAGATACAACTATATAAGATGGAATTTCTAAAACATAAGAGGGATGGAGAATACTTCAATCATGATAATGTATTATGGAATCCTTTTACCTATTTGATGCATGTTAAGTAAGCATCCTAAAATTCAGTTCACACATTGTATGTTGTGCCAACAAAAAAGATTCCACAGAAGACACAGTGTGGATTGTGGAAACCAAGGCGTTATCACCAAGAGCCACATGCAAGGGTGAGGGATATGGGATGGGGACCCAGGACGGAATCTGCTAAAGGGCCAGTCTAACCCTAAGCTTAAAGTTTCCAACTAAGAGCTATTTTCTCCCTCTTGAAGTTAATAACTTTTCTTCTATTTCCTCATTCAGCTCTGACCACCCCCCATTCCGAGTTTGTGCCTTGAGGCTTGCCAGCAGGGCTCGCGATACTTACATTAAACTAAATTTAAGAGTAAAGGTGCTCCTGCTGCTAATGTTCTCAGATCAGACGAGAGCAAAATGAAGGAACTGGCAGCTGAAACTTTAATGGTCAGAAACGTTGACTCGGATTTTGAGGGGAAGAAAAAGCACAGTCGATCTGTGTGACAAAGGAAGCACGTCTCTCCTGCCTTACGTGCATCACATTAATTTAGTTGTTTGTATTTTGTACCAGAATCATCTAAGCCTAGGCAACATCAAAATGGCTCAAACCTATATCCTGTATTGACATAACAACTCTGAAGGAGATACTCATACATCCCTTGATGGGACACTGCGTCTTGCTTCTGTGTAGCTGGGTCATCCTACTACTTGAAGTGTAGGTACAGTTTTCTCATTTTGAAGCTCCCTTCAAAGTCTTAACAATGATTCAGTGCCCTTTGGGAAGCAAAGCTGAATGTTCAGAATAGAGGCTGAATATTCTGTTGGATCAAATGCTGCAGTCCTTTTTGGCTTACCTCCCTGTCAAAATCCAGAGAAAGAGCTTTGAGTAAAATGGAGCTGGCTCAGAATTGCTCTGTCATGCCAGGGAACTTGGGAACAGTCTTCCTGCTGAAATGAGTTGGTGGGAGTGTGGGGGAGCCCAGATTCCTTCCAGAGATGTCCTTAAGGTCTGACCTCATGGGAATCATGATGTTCTCCACATGTTCTGCATATTATTGCCTTTTAGTAAGTTCTGATTAGCCAAATAATGAGTTAGTTAAACATCTGGACACACCAAAAAAATAGGCTTTTTTCTTTTTTAGTTACTAAAGAAGTGAGCTGTGTTTTGCTCATTACTGGTGTATGTCACCACCTAAATCAGTAGCTGGCAAGGTGTTAGAGGGGGATTACCGAGATTACCTTGACCCCTAGATTACAGAAATGAGGAGGACAGGGAAGGAAAGAAAATGAGGCTGGAAGTAAGAGGAGGTGGACGGGAGCTAACAGGGCTGGGACTCAGAGTTCTCAGGCACTTCTGTGGTTTAGAGGTTAGCTTGTGTATGTGTGTAAACTACAGCGTCAAAAACCCAGCAAGCAGAACACAACTGCAATAGCTGAATTAAAAATGTGTCAGCTAAGAAGACAGGCTGAGAGGTGGTGTTAGGGTCCGAGCTCAGGATAGCCTCACCTGTCAAGGAAAACTCTGAGAGACCAAGTCCATGCAAAAGCAAGAGGTTTATTCGAGCATGCTTGGGCTCACAGCATGACCGCAAACCGTCAGTGACTGAGAGCCCCGAGCCTCTTCAAAGGGGGCTTTTTATAGGGCATCTTCCCGCGCATTTCAGAAAGCCCGCGCACAAATCACCCAATACATTGGAATTATCACATTAGATGCTGCACGCAGGCAGCCAATCATTTTGCAACAAGCCATCAGCACCAGCCACTCTCTTCTGTACCTGTCACCAGGCCCTCTCAACGGGCAGTCAATTAGGCCTTTTCTGGCCTTATGGCACTATTAGATGAATTCCAGGGCAAGAAAATATCTCATTGGGCCTTCTCCGACCTTGTGGCCTTATCCGGTGAATTCCAGGTGCAAGGAGGAGATGGGGGTACTTGGTGTTGCTAGCCTGCCGCAGCTGCAGGACGGGATATGGGCTGGGACTTGCTTTGCTAGGGCCCAATTGTCATGGGGCTATATTTCAGTGGGAAGGAACCTGGGAACACTGGTAGGGGGAAGAACACCCTGTTGGTGGGATTGGTAGTAGAATGCTGTAGGCTCGAAACTCTAGTGTGAATAACTCCATAAATCAGTGTCATGATGTAGTGCAGCCTTCCACGTGACCTACCTGGGTTTGATCCCCAGCATCACCAGGGGACTTGTAAGGTCCCTTGAGAAACTCCAGGAGTGATCCCTGAAGGCAGATCTAGAAGTAAACACTGAGCACTTCTGGGTGTATCCCCCCAAACAAAAACGAAAAAAGAAAAGAAAGAACCCTAGCTTGCACTGCTTAGTAACTCAGTTAAGTATCTATTGAATACGGTAAAACAAACAAAGAAACTAGCTTGATGGTGATTTTGCCTAGGTTACTGCCTTACCTCCAGGGCTGGAGCGATAGCAGAGCAGTAAGGCGTTCGCCTTACAAGCGGCCAACATGGCCGACCCGAGTTCGCTTCCTCCGCCCCTCTCGGAGAGCCCGGCAAGCTACCGAGAGTATTCGATATGCCAGACACAGTAACAACAAAGTCTCCAATGGAGACGTTACTGGGCCCGCTCGAGCAAATCGACGATCAACGGGAGGGCCTTTACCTTTACCTTACCTTTACTGCCTTACCTCAGGCAGTAACATGCTGGGAGGAAGTGATTTAAATCTAGGAGCAAGATTTCATCCACCTGGCGAGGCTAAAATCCTATTGGTCAAATCAGTGGACAATAGGATGGAATTTAGAGGTGGTCCTTGAATGTTTAACGATTAGAGAATGGGTCCTTTTTCCTGTCAAGTATCTCTATGTACTTAATGAGGAGATAGAACTTTCATACTTCTTCCCCTTTGGGGTTCCTTTAAGCAACTGAATTGTGCAGGCCTGCTTTACACTTGTTCACTTCCCTCCCCAGTGTGGCACTTGGCATTTCCCAAAGATGATGGGGGCATGTTTCCACCTCCCATTCTCTCTCTCTTTTTTTTTAATAGTTTATTTCTTTATTGAATCACTGTAGGAAAAGTTACAGAGCTTTTGGGTTTAGGTCTCAGTCATGTAAGTATCACACACATTTCCCTTTACCAATACTTATTTTTAACCGTGAACCCCAATAGACCCCCACCTCCCACCCCTCCCAATTCCTGTGAGGCAGATGAGTTCTAGTTAATACTCTATCTACTTTGACTAGATACATTGTTTCGATAGAAGATACAGAATTATTGTTTAGAGTTTACGACCCCCCCCCCCCATCAGATATGCTGAAACAGTGTTGTGAAATGATTTGCTTTCTACAGCTGGGTTTAAGAATAAAATGATGTCTGCTGTTTCACTTATTAACCCTGGAACTATTTCTATTAAAAGGTAGATAGTTAAGAGATTGGTTTCTGTGCTCTGGAGTCGTGGCCGTGCCGGAGAGCCGCTCGTGGGGGGCAGCTGGTGACCTCTGTCGGGCGTGAAGGACGGACCGGAACGCCCCCCTTCCCATGAGGCCCCCGCTGCCCCCCGCCCCCGGCTCAAACCTGCTGTCCACAAGGCTCCCGTGCGGCCGCCATCTTTCTTTCCAGAGAGGAGTCCCATTCTCTCTTTAGGGAGTAACTCCACGCTCTTGTTGATTGGGTTTATGTTCCATCTCGGCAGACCTCATATCACAGTAGAAGTCACACCCTTTGGCCTCCACGCTCAGGCCCTAAGAGGAAATATCATTCCCACTGGACATTTCTCTGGGGTTCTAAGATGACATATAAGCAACCTGAGAGGAAGCCCACACTGTCTGAGGAAATCCTGGATATGTGAGTGGGACCACTTAGAAGTGGTTCCTGACTGGTGAGTAATCTCCAGGCATCTGAGTCTTCCCTACAGAGGTCCTTTTTTTCCCAGAAAGAGGAAAGCCCTCCCTATGCTCTAATTCCTAACCTCTAAAAAATAATGGAAGTAACAAAATGATAAAATCAGTATTGTTTTAAGCAGTCTTTATTTTTTAAATTCCTGTATTTTGAAAATTGAGTTTTGGTGTTGGTTAAACCATGATGGTGGTGTGAGCAACTGTCTCCGATTTGAGAATCTTCCCCTTGTGAAAAAACCCTTCACCAGTGAGTAATAACGTCTTTAGAAACAGCCAAGCATGAAAAATATTCAGTTATTGGTTATAACAAGAAATCAAAGCATGAACAGTTAATATCTATGGTAAAAAATGATTATCTTCATTCTTTGCTTGTGACAGTGTCATGTAACAAAACAAACTCTAAACTCTGAGTATACTTTTCTAATCTCCTGGTTGAAGATGAGGACAAACAATAAACTGACCATAAGGCAGAGAATAGAAAAAAAAAATCATGAGAGAAGCAAGCTGCTGAATCCACTCATCAGTTCTTATCCCTGAGTAACAGAACTAGGGTGCTACACACAGACCTATTCCCAGCGTATATGACAGAGGGTGTAGCACTGTCCTCCCGTTGTCCATCGATTTGCTCGAGCGGGCACCAGTAACGTCTCCATTGTGAGACTTGTTTTTACTGTCTTTGGCATATAGAATACACCATGGTGAGCTTGCCAGGCTCTGCTGTGCGGGAGGGATACTCTCTGACGCTTGCCGGGCTCTCCGAGAGGGAAGGAGGAATTGAACCTGCGTTGGCCGTGTGCAAGGCAAATACCCTACCCACTGTGCTATCACTTCTTCTTAGGGTTTCTTGATATATTTATTCCATAAAATCTCTCTCTTTTTTTTTGTAGTTGAAAATGGCCACCCTGCCCCCCCTTCAGATGATGCGTCCAAAGCTTATGTCCATAGCCAGCGCCAAGCTGCCCTGCTCCAACAATGTTCGAAGCATGCCACGGTTGGTGCCCCCCCACCCCTTGTTTTCCCTATAGATGAATCTCTTCCAGTAAGAAATGCCAGTGAGTTACTCAGATAACAAGATTGTTTGAAGGTCCAGCTATATTGTTTATGCCTACTATTCAGAATTTTCCTAGTCACTGTTTTTGAAGAATTGAAGAGCCTCATTTAAAATACTCAACTGGTGCCAGTTTGAAAATATTTCCAATTCCAGTAAGAGCACAGATCTGATAAAGCTCTGAAAGGAAAACCTTTAGGAATGAAGGGTGGATGGCTTCTAAAAGCAGGGCCCAGGGTATTGATGTCTGTTTGGGAGGACGGAGGACTCACATGTACTCTGAAGGTAGATTGGTGGGCGGGATTCAATCCTGACATGATGATAGTGGGGCTGGAATGCTTGAGTCTTGGAGCTGTGACTGAGGAAGTGCAGGAGAGAGGAGTTAGTAGATTTTGTCATAATCATGAGTGTCACCTAAGTTTGAGTGCTTTTCAGAAGTTGGCTCTTATAGCTTGGTTCATTTTTATTAAGAAATATTTATCAATAGAAATATTTTGCATATGCAAGTTTGATTATTTTCTTTTGAAATGTTTTTCTCCACTTCTGTAAGACCATAATAATCACAATGTCAAGGGATAACTTCATGATGAAAAGGATTATAGCTCACTTTTTTTGGGGAGAACAAAACCCCTGATCCAAAATAAATGCATTCAGTGAAATGAACACTAAAGCATAAATAACACATCAAAATGCCTATTATAAAAGAATTTTATAATAAATTAAATTATAACAGGTCAACTTTTAAATGACAAATGACACAACTTCAAAAATTATTTTTTCAAATGATCGTCACTAACTACATAATTGCAGTGCATATGATACAATTTTCCATTTTAATTTTGAAGAATGGAGATTATTACAGTCTCTTTTCTCCTTTTATGTTTTAGCAACAGTTTTCCTTTACTTTTCAACACCAGCAAAAATATAGCCCAATCTCATCTTTCCAAAACAACACAGATTCTAACAAAAACTTTTTGTGTGTATTTTTATTGATGAAAAATATTTTCAGCAGAGTCACCTCTGGCTACGTTTTGTATCAATGTTCTCGATTTACTGCTGCCTACAGCCTGGGCTGTCTCGGGTTCCTGTGGCATTACTCACGATGGTGCTAGTATGCTTGATTTTAAAGAAGGGCAAGTGAGAATAAGCAACACGTTTTGTATATTTCTCAGAAAAGTCTTTCTAACCTCTCAATTCAATTTAGTCTTAAAAAATATCTTTGTACCTTGAATTTTAATAACTAAGTTTTATATGTGATTACCAAAAAAATTGCAAAACTCAGAGTAAATTTTGCTAATGTTTGGATCAAATTAATTTCACACATACATGCATAAAATAGGTCTTCTTCATTTAAGATTCTCTGTCAGACAGAATATGGATTGTGTAGATGAAGAGTTAGACTGTGAAATAGCCTAAGATAATTCTTTGAAGCTTTTAGGAAAGAAAGTGTTTATTTGAGAATGCAAATTATTTTAATGTGCTGATGTTTTTATTTGATTATACACTGGCCTTAATATTTTCCCTGTTTTTTTTATATTTGAGAAAATTAAGACTTTAAAGTTATTAGTCCTGGAACTACTGCAGGACATTCATTATAGATTATATTGTACCCTGAATATTTCTGTTCTGGTGGCATTTTTTTATGTTTGCTAGCTTTTCAACTTAATAAGGCAGTGCTTTATTATTTCCTTCTACTTCATTTAGCTCTCAATTGATCAAAGAGAAAGATGACATAGATCATTATCTGGAGATGAGTTTCAAAGGATTGTCAAAAGAGGAGGTCGCTGTGTAAGTAGAGACTCTTAAAAGTGCTTTAATATAAATTTTGTTTCTTTTGTTTTGATTCGTTATTGAAATTTCCATTTTCCTGTGCAGTATACCTTTTCACTGGAATGTGGCATTTAAAAATTAAAGTTCTTATTAAATAGTGATAAGTCTTGTCTATTGATCTGACATGTATCAAACTCTTTAACTTTATGGCTTCCAAAATGTTCATATTTACCAAGATAGTAGACTACTACATCGCACTATTAAATCCGTGCCATTAATTGCTTACTAGCTTCTTAATAGTGGTGCTTCTATAGGGCAGAAATGAAAACTTTAAGAGAAATATTTTAACCTTTATTTTCTGATGAAATTTTTGGGGGGAGAAAATCCCTATAAATATGTTATTTCTCTCACCAAGAACCAAAAGAAGAATTAATGAATTACAGTTTATTATCTAATTTACAGATAATTCTCAGATGTCTGGATTTATTTTTCAAATGAAAAATATAAACTTTTCCAATTTACCACTAGTTAAAAGCAATAGCATGAGTAAAGGCAGTATAAAGATACATGCAGATTATTGAGAAATGAATAAAAAGCTAGAATAAAAGTTAAACATGGTTATTATTTTTACTTGATACACATAACTTGGTATAAGCAGATATTTAGACATAAATACTTAAAAACAAATATTATAAATGTTTTGCATATTATTGGAATTCAGTGAATGATTCCATTAAAGAATTTTATGACAATAATAGTATGACAATACTATTGTATGGCTATTAAATTTGCTGAAAATATGTATATATTTATCTACATATAAGTGTGTGTTTATTTATGTGTATATGTCTATATAGAGAGAGAGCTAAATAGAGAGAAAGAGAGAGGCAGAGAAAGAGGGGGGTGAGGGAGAATTTGTTTTGGGGCCAGATCTGATGTTGACTCAGGGACTCCTACCAGGTAAGTGCTTGAGGACCATGAGGTGCTGGGAATTGCACCCAGGCCTCCTGCATGCAAAGCATACACACTTGTCCTTTGTGCATCTCCCCAGTATATTATATATTCTTAATATTTATGTAATATATATCAGGAAATTATATTTCAGTATAGGTTTATTGATTTTGAAATTCTGTGTCCCAATATTTTTCATTTTAGTAGATACTGTATTTTATCTATGGCTATATTTTTTTTTTTTATCAACCTGCTTATACTGCAAAAATGCAGAATAGTTCATGCTGGCAGTAGCTGTTTTAGAGAGTGACTATGTTTTATAGTAACCATAATCACTATCTCTATAAGCTCTATAAATTACCAGGTGTAGAACCTAAAACCTTTGGTAGCTACTATTTCAATTGTAAATTCATTGATTTTCTATGGTGACCGTGTCTAAAATTAAAGGTTAATATTGTTTAATCATTTTTCAAAATATATATATATATATTTGAGTAAATTTGCCTTCTGACTTATAGGTATTAAAATAGATGTAATTGCTATAAGAAGTAGGGGCTAAATAAGGAATTAAATTTTTGCTTCACATATATAGCAAACTGGAAATCCCTATAGAAATGAGGCATTTCCATCTGCACTAAAAACTCCTTTGGTGTCAAACTCATACCAGATGGACATGACGAGTGAGTGCTTAATAGTAATGTTATTTTCACTTATAATCAAAATTAACACTAGAAGTGAAAATCAAAATTATCAAATGTATCTCACACTAAAGAAAATAGTAGTAGTGAGTAATTCTAAGTCCTCTTAATTTCATTCACTTTAGTCTTTTTGCACTTGAAAAAGACCAAAGCTCTTTTATTTTTTTTATAAGTACTTTTCTTTTTTTTTTCTTTTTTTTTTATTAGTGAAACACCATGAGGTACAGTTATAGGCTTACAAATTTTGTGCTTGGGTTTCAGTTATACAATGATCAAGTGCCCATCCCTCCACCAGTGCCCGTTATCCATCACCACGGGTTCCATCATCCCTCCCCCAAAGCTCTTTTAGACCAAAGCTTTTGGTCTAAAAGCTTTTTTCTTAGGACAATAGATATAAACCATTAGTAGGAAGATGACTTGGTACCCAGCTCACCATTATTCTTTGATTGATAGATAATCTAGACTCTACCCCAGACAACTAATTGGATAGCATGTAAAGAAGAAAACTGATGAATGATTTTAGTGTTTCCCAGCAATACTCAGCAGGTGTCAGGGGAATTATGCATATTCTGCTAGCCAGGGAATTGCTGTTTAAAACTTTTTATTAGCCACTCAACTCTAAAAAGATAAATTGGTCAACATACATTTATTAAGTAGCTGCTTTGGATATAATACTAGATTTTACACAATGGGAAAGATAATGATGAAAGATACACGATGATAATTTATTAGAAAATACTTGTTTCCCTCCTTATCTTTATTTGAAACAAAATACCAATGAACAGGAAAAAATATGGAATGAATAAATAAATGCTGATTGCTGAGGAACAGCCTTGAGGTTTATATAAAATCAAAGAAGACTAAAATGAGTGGGATAAAATTTTCCAGGGAGTACACATTTCAAACTCAGCTCCTGCTCATTATAAAATGATCAAACTAACGATCATAGAACCTCAGTATATAAGGATGTAATGGAGAAAAATCTAAGATAAAATTTTCAATCAAACAAAAGCAGTAATCTCAGATTACTTTGAAATTCCGATCTATTCTGTCTATTATTCTCTAAATCACAATAGGTATTTCCATTGGGTCAATATTACTGGCTGGAGCAATAGCATAGCCGGTAGGGCATTTGCCTTGTACATGGCCAACACAACCAACCCGAGTTCAATTCCTCCGCCCGTCTCAGAGAGCCTGGCAAGCTACTGAGAGTATCTTGCCCGCGCGGTAAAGCCTGGCAAGCTCCCCGTGGCGTATTTGATATGGCAAACACAGTAACAAGTCTCACAATGTTACTGGGCTTGCTTGAGCAAATCCATGAACAATGGGAGGACAGTGACAGTGACAATATTACTGGAAGAGGAAGTATCAATGATGTAGAAGAAAGCCATGCTTTAGAGCAAGACAAAATCTTAGAACAAATGAAAGAGGATGGTCTCCAGGCATAAACAGAAGTACCACCCTTAAACAAAAAGAGAAACTCCTCCCCCTGTGCAACAGAAGAAAAGTGAGTGCATGAGTTTATGCATTTGCCGCTTGATATATTTGGGGGGTAGAGAGTGAGGAGTAAGAATAGACAAAAAGCAGACTCCTATTATGGAACATCAAGGCTCTTGTACCTCCATTGTATAATCAGTACGCATAACTATACCTATTGTGATTTAGAGAATAATAATAATCTCATACAATTCTAAATTCTTTATCATGACCTAGAGTTGCAGATGGTTTGGACTTTTATGACCGACTTTCCCCATTCTTCCCACCACTCGATTCTCTCCACATGACTTGATTGCTGCTCTCCTCCCTGTCACTCAGATATCCCCGGAATGGAAGCTCTGCAAGCCTGGCTTTCCTTCATCTCCGATTCCCGAAAGCCTCTGCCTTGCCACACTCACGCTCACGTAGACCAGCTGCCTCTGTTTCTGCGGTCACCAGTTCCCTGTCCTGGGTTGGGGATAAACTCTGTTAGTCTTTCTCCTGATGCCCGTGAGACTGAGATGTGTCCTTGTGTTTCCCTGCACGTGGTGAGAGCCCAGTAGCTAGATGTTAAGTGAATAAATGAGTGAAAGAATAAATGTCATATTAACAGCATCACAGAATAGGCACCCTGCTAAGACACAGTTTCCGGTCAGAGTTTTATGTACGTGCTTTGACTATTGAAATGAGAAAGTTTGACTCCTCAAAAAGTGTGTTCTGCATACACACAGAAGTATAGAATTTTACTTAGCATTTGAGCAGGACATGCTAAAGCAATTTTTGGAAGAATTAAGCCCAGGGGTTCATTTTACTTTGGAATTGACAATGTAGATGAAAAGCAAAAGACTTCTCCTTTTTATTTATCAATTACATCTATAAAAGGATTTTCAGCATGATTCATTTCTTTTTAAAGAGACTTTTAAAGATTATTTCTGTGCCTTATAGGTCATCTTTCCAACCTGGTTGAATTAATGTTCTATATTTGACAGTGATAATTTGACTTTATTGTTTCACTTATGGATTATATTTGCCTGATCTTTGATAGTTAAATAAAGTCATGTTATTTCTGCTCTTTTTTTATACTAAATCAAATTACTAGAATGTGTGATTTTACTTTAAAAGGACCTAAAGCATTACTTAAAAGTAAATACTTAAAAGTAAATGCTTAAAGTAACACTCTAAGTCTTTTTAAAAGTATTAGAATACCATCACTGTTTTGAGGAGTTAAATAATAAAAGTGTCACTTATAAATTCAAGTTTATCAGGGGACAGAGATTGTTCATTTGCTCAATATTATTTTCTACTTCAGATGTCAAGTTCAGATATCAAATTATGTGGAAGAAAAGATTTAGTTCAAAATTGTGTACATTTCTGTGATATTGCTCCCTTTCCAAATATCTCTTACAATCATCAGTTGCTTACAGGGAGGTATTTTGTCAGCATAAGAGCAATTAGAACTCTCAGTTACCAAATTCAACTGAGTTTTGGTTGTAAAGAAACAACGAAGCATATACTTTCATATCCTTTGAAACCTTTTTCTCTTACTTCATATGTAATGGGATCATACTGAAGTAAATTCACATTTTGTCTGTCTCAGGTTTTTATTTTAAATTTGATCCAAGTTTGTTTTCTAAGGATGCTATAACAAGCTATGTGCAAACTTGTTAGAACATATTTTGTTAGAACAATAAACACATGAGTTTATTCTGCCTTTCTATTCTTCAGCTGGAGCATATAATGTACTTACCTTTAAAGTAAATGCAATTAGGAAGGAATTTACTTCAGTTATATGCTAGTTGAGGTTTTTATCTATGTCTTTTGTTTTTCATACATTATTTGTTGCATTACTGTATTCTTTTGTCTTTACTTTTGTGGTGAAATCTTACTTGCCTT